TTTTTTCTGGTACCAGGGATAAAACTTGTGACCTTTTGCTTGCAAGGCAGACTGTAGAACCACTGAGCTAAATCCCTGGCCCTTATTTTTTAAAAATACATCTCTAAGTATATTATTCTTTTTGATGATATTGTAAAATGGACTTATTTTCATAGGTTTATTTAATGTTATTGTACAGAAATAAAATTTTTATATGTCAGTGTCCTATCCTACAACTACATGGAACTCATTTTACCAGTTCTAATTGTTTTGCAGTAAATTCCTTAGAATTTTATATACTTAAAATCCTGTCATTTACAGAAGCACAGCATCTAAAAATACATAAGACATAAAGTAGGTAATAAATTTAGAAAAACAGCCGGACGGCACACGCCTATAATCCCAGCACTTGGGAGGCTGAGGCAGGAGGATTGCTGTGAGTTCGAGACCAGCCTGGGCTACATAGTGAGTTCCAGTTCAGTTTCAACAACAACACAAACAAACAAAAACAACAAAAAAAACCCCACAAAAATTTAGAAAAACAGAACACCTGGGACTGTTAGTCTACCCGGGGCAGACTATTTAATATCTATAAAATGGTGATGATAAGAGAACAGAATATAAAGGACTTAACATGATATATTTTATAAAGCTCAATGAATGTTAGCTAATACCAGTATTATGAAAGAAATTTAAAAATGACAGATTAGATTTCATGTTCATGTTAAAATGTCATTGTGTAAAAAATCAACCACTAAGCTGGGCGTGGTGGTGCATGAATCCTAGCATTGGGAGGCTGAGGCAGGAGGATCGCTGTGAGTTCAAGACCAGCCTGGGCTACATAGTGAGTCCTAGGTCAGTCTCAACTACATAGTGAGACCCTGCCTCAAAAAACAAAACAAAAACAAACACAAACAAAAAATCAACCACTAGTTGCAATACTACTTATAGCTGAGAATACTGAAAAGTTTTTACACTGAATGGGGACTAGTTAAATTTCCACATTTTTATACATATTTACATGTTTCTCGGTCAGGACCTATCTATTACTTAGCATCATTTTGGAGAATTACCTGATACAAATGATTAAGAGAGAAATTAGAGGTTAAAAAACTAGAAAGAAGTAAAATTTGGCTGTGTATATGCACTCACCCCCCCCCATCAGGGTCAAATGAAAAACTTACAAACAAAAATAGAATTCAAGATAAGGTGGCTTAGTGGGAAGGGTAGGGGAAAGGTAATAAAGGAAAAGAAAAAAATATGAGAAAATGAAAATATGGAAATGAAGTGTTTGTAAAGGGGGAGGGGAGGAGGGGGTGAAGGGAGGGCAGGGACGAGGGGAAAAAATGAGAACCAAGACCTGTCATGAAAAGGTACAAGATCCCAATGATGACTGTAACTGTACTGTATACCTAAATGTACCAATAAACTCAATTTTAAAATAAAGATAAGGTGGCTTAGTACAAAATTAACATAACAAATCAGTATCTTTCAAATATACAAATACATCCAACTACAAGATATATTAGAAATAACTTCATTTTCACCTGCAAATAACCCTGCAGACTTTCTAAAAAAAATTATCAATAAACTAGCAAGATCTACAAGAAATTATAAAAGAATGCCTGAAAGATATTTAAGGCATTTTATTCTTAGTTTATGGATTCAAGTTGGCCCGGCTGCACGGCTGTCGCGGAGGAAGGCACTCTTCTCCCCACACTATAGATAAGACCGCCGCAGTGCTCTGTGGAGCTTGCTTGCTTCAGTTCAGCTCAGACGAAGTCACCTTTGTCCTGACTTCTGACCCAGTCACTAGGATGCCTGGTCCCGCTGCTTCCCCAGGACCACCCTTCTGTCTGTAGGTCCCTGAGGAACACATCCTGGATGTTATTCTGGATCGCTTTGCCGCTTTCAGTGGTCTAAGGGTATCTTGGGGGCCAGTGTTCACGCACTGAGACTGAATTATTCCAGAACAGATAGGAAAATTCAATAGTAGGAAGAGATCAGCTTCCCTCAGTTAAAATATAAATTTAGTAGGATCCAAATAAAAACATGAGCAGGATTCCCCCCACCCCCCCTGTATTGGGGATCCAACTCAGGACCTTGCACTTGCGCGGCAGGAGGCGGAACACCAGGATTTTTTTATAACTTGAGAAGCTGATTATAAAGATTATACAGAAAAAATTAAAAAGCAGGAACATTTAGGAAATTTTCTAGAAAAGACTAACACTATTAGATACAAAAACACATTATAAAGCTCCATTAATTAAATGTGATACTGCTAGCCGGCTGTGGTGGCGCACACCTGTAATCCCAGGACTTGCAGGAGGATCGCTGTGAGTTCGAGACCAGCCTGGGCTACATAGTGAGCTCCAGGTCAGTCTCAACTACATAGTGAGACCCTGTCTGAAAAGAACCCCCCCCAAACAAAACAAAACAAAAACAAACAAAATAAATGTGATACTGCTAAAGTGTATATAGATATACATAGTAATGTGTTAGGAAAAAACCCAGAAATAAGCCCAGATATATTTAGGAATGAAATAAATGTGTTGCCCATATATACACTCAAAAGGAAGTACCAAAGGATTTTATTCTCAGACCTGGGGATTGAACTCAGGGCCTTTGCACTGAGCTGCATCCTCAGTGCTTTTTCTCAAACAGGACAGGCTGGGCCAGACTTGCTGTCCTCCTGCCTTAAAGCCATTCGCCACCATGCCCAGGTCCAAAGGATGTTTGTTAGGCAGGAAGCAAAAAAAATCTGTAGAAGTTCCCAGTGGAGAGTCAGACATCCCTCCAGCTTACTTTTGGTCCTTTCAAAGTTCAATAAAAACAACTGTGGATTGCGGAACATGCGTGCACTCATGCCTAATATTTGAACATGAGATTTATTGCGAAGAGATTTGCTAAATTGCTATTTCTGCCCTTCATTATCTGCCAAACTCATCATCAAGACTCACAAGAGCTCTGCATCTCTCCGTGAGCTATTTATTCTCTTTGAGAAGCAAGGGTAGGTGTAAGTGCCTCCTAAATGTTGATGCCCCTCCATTCTCTTGCATTTCCATTTTGCTTTGTTTTGTTGGAGACGTGGTCACCCTAGGGAGTCCAGAGTGGCCCCGAGCTCACTGTGTAGCCCAGGCTGGCCTTGAACTCACAGTGATCCTTCTGCCTCAGCCCCTGGAGCGCTAGGATTACAAGCTACACCGTTTGTTCTTCATCTCTTTTACCTTAGGACCAGAGGATTATTAAAATATAGATCTAATCATGACTTCTTATTTAAAAATACTTGATGCTTACGGAATGCCCGTGTGCCTACACAATAAAGTTTGGACTTGGAGGCTCCCCGTGGGCGTTCGCAGTCCTCCAGGGCGCACTGGGGACTCTTCTCCCTCAGCCTCAGCACACACCGTCCTGCAGGCCTCACAGTTCACCACACAGCTCTGGGCCTTTGTTCACCCAGAACCTTAGACTGATGGGATCCTCCACCCCGCTTCTCTGCCCGTTAAGACCTCTCACAGCTCCGGGCAATCCCAGCTACCCAGGAGGCTACAGCGAAGGACTGCAGTTCAGGGCCAGCTTGGGCAACCTCATCAGGACTCTGTCTCAAAGTAAAAAGGGCTGGAGGTAAATCTGAGTGCACCACACCTGAAATCTACTCAGTAATGACCCACTCCTGAGCTTTCTCTTCACTATGGTTAGTATTGTTCGTTGCTTTTATCTGCCTCTATCATGAATATACCACGTTATTTTTTAAAGTTTAAAAAATAATTTTATTATTTCAGAAACATCCAGAGAACCCATTTTAAAGTGCTTAGCTTTTCAAAAGACAGTTGTCAAAAGACTATTTATTCTCTAATATGTTTCGCTTTTGGAGATGAGGTCTTGCTGTGTTGCTCAGACCAAACCGAAAAGCCTGGGCTCAAGAGATCCTACTGCCTGTGTCTCCCAAGTAGTTGGGACCATGGTGCATCCCACTAAGCCTGGCAGTCAGTATTTTTGAAATCAGGACCATGTTTAGACTCCTACACTTATATTCCTTACTACATGGGTTTTTTGTTTTTGTTTTTGTTTTTTAATACCAGGGTTGGAACTCAGGACCTTGCACTTGTGAGGCAGGTGCAGTGTCACTGAGCTACATCCCCAGCCTTCTTACTACATGGAAATAAATATTTACCCCCCAAATTATTTTGCATAGCAAGAAATAAGAATTCCTGATAGGAGACAGTCAATAAATGAGACTTTTTTAGTGGTAACAGGTCCTTGTCAGATGTGGCAGTGCATCCCTGTAATCCCAGCCCTTGGGAGGCTGAGACAGGAGGATCACTGTGAGTTCGAGGCCAGCTTGGGCTACACAGTGAGTTCAAATCCAGCCTAAACTACACAGCAAGACCCTGTCTCAAAACAGAAACAAAACAAAAACAAAAAATCCCATCACCAAAAAAAAACAGGTCTTCGATAAACATTTTTGTGAAAAAAAGGTAAAGCAAGCTATGCAGATTTAATCTTTTAGAATCCGTGTTGAAAGTTATTAGTAAAGGATTCGTATTCCCTCTTTTAATGACAGCAAAAGTTTGGGTTCTAGACCCTCAGAAACAGATGAAAGGTATTTCTCAACTCTGGTAAGCTTGTCACTTAATCTGGCCCACCCACAGACAGCACTAAACACTGAGATCCCCTTAGTCCCAGAAGCACAGCACAAGTACAGAATAAGTACCTGATAAATCCTGTGGAAGGGTTGAACGCATAGTGACCCGGGACGATTATGCAACAGTCTTTCCAGTCAGACTGTGAATATCAAGTAGAGGAATATTGTTATTCATCTTTTTGTCTCCCAACAGCCAGCACTGTATCAACACGCAATGAATGTGTACTGGGCTGGGGATTTAACTCAGTGGTTCCACCACATGCCTTGCAAGCGCAAGGTCCCGAGTTTGATCCTCGGTACCAAAAAAGAATGTGTATTAAATGCTGTTTATTAAACTGTAGCCAAGAGATAAATACTTTATTTCAAAAATGCAAAGAAGGAAAAAGAAAACATTTCTTCTGTCTTGCGAACCCGCACCCAAGACCTATGCATACACTTGTGAACTGGAGTGGAGGACACTGGCCGTCTCTACCTCGAGGCTATGGAAGGGAACTCGAACTGCAAAGGCTGGTGGGTGGCCTTAGTCTTCCGGGGTGCTGAGCGCTATCTGGTCCGCATGCCCGGGAATCCAGCCCCCACTCGACGGCCTCCCCAGCACAGCCCCGGGACAGCACAGCCCCGGGACAGCACAGCCCCGGGACAGCACAGCCAGGCGAGGCTGCGGCACGTCTCAGCCATGCACCCACACCGGGCAGGGGTTCCTGCGTGCGGGCCCAGAGGACAGTCCTCGGGGGGCTAGAAGGAAAGCAGCAGGGGCGTCGCTCGCAGCACCGCGGAGTGAAGAAATGAAGCACACAATCCCAGCGTGTCCACATCTGTCTCAAGAGTGGTACACAGCTCCCTTCCACGGCACATCGCGACACTGCGCCATCGCAGACGGAACTGAAGAGCAGAGGGCCGGCTGGCTCAGTCACATCTTGGGGAAGCTGGCCAGGTTGGCGATGCCACAGGTGTTGTTCTTATTTCGAGCCAGGAGAACGTAGCCTTTGTTTCCCCAGTCTTCTCCCCAGCTGGAAGACCAATCAAGAAAAATACTTAGTCCGTTTATTCTTTGAAACTCTTACTGTAGAGTGCTAGGTACCGAAGGCATACAAAATTGAGCAAGGTGACTTTTGCCTTTAACGTATTTAAAGGGGCAAAGAGGAAAAAAGGTATAATCCCGAGAGTACTACCACTCAGCAAGAGGATGAAAACAGGCCAAGTGTGGACCCGAGGGACTGGGGTGACGGGGAGGGCTGAGGCCGACAGGGAGGCAGGGTGGCAGGACATGTGTTAAGGTCCTGGGGCCGAAAACTGCCTGACAGCACAGGGAAACTGCGTCGGAAAGGCAGGTCGAGTCTAGCGTCTGAGCTCTGCGTGGCAGGGAGGCTCAGGCGGACGGCGGCCTGGGAGCAGGCCTGCAGGGAGAGCCGGGCCGGGAGGGCTGCAGGAAGGGAGCGGCTCGTTTGCGCAGGACAGTGACGCCCCTCCGCACTACCGTCCGACCACCCGAGCCAGCTTCAGAGGTAAGGCCAGCCGCATGGCAGAACGGAAGAGCCTGGTCCGGGAGGAAGAAAGGAGCCCCGGGAACTGGTACGTGGAGTGTCACAGGGTCAGCGACACGGCGGTGTCCCCGCCCTACCTGTTCTTAAGTATCCAGTGCTTGTGTCCCCTGTGGATCCCATACCCCACTGCCAGCAGAGCGTGGTTCAGATTGTCCCCGTTGCAGCTTTCATCGTAATACACACCTGGAAAACAGCCGCGCGACACTCGCTGCAAGCCGAGAGCCGCCCACAGGACACCAGGGTCCCCGCCTGGCACCCGACCACGGGGGCCACGGCACTGCACGGAGGACGCGGCCCCAGAACACTGCGCCCACGCCGTCCGGGCCTCCTCACCCTTGCTGTAGAACTGGAAGGAGGTCAGGCTCGCGTCAATGGCCACAGACACCGGTCCCACGCGGGCCACAGCTCTCTTCAGCGCCTTCTCGCTGCCTACAGGGATCTCTCTGTACCCTCGGCACTTGGCCGCCTTGCCTGTTGGGTTGTACATACAGCTTTCGTCCTGGAAGAAACAAGGCTGTGACAGAACTCAAACAAAGCAACGGGCCATGAGTTGGTCAGTGAGAAACTAGACCGAAGTTTTGAGTAGCATCAGTGCAGTAACGTTCTGTTCCTCTTCACCATTTCAGGAAACTAAGAAAAGAATATAAAAAAGGGCTCCTGCCTTTTCCCACACACAAACATCAGCTCCAGGTGGTTTAAAGACATAAACACGGAAAGCTGGGCGTGGGGGCGCACGCCTGTAATCCCAGCACTCAGGAAGCTGAGGCAGGAGGATCGCTGTAGTTCGAGACCTGCCTGGACTACACAGTGAGTTCCAGGTCAGTCTCCACTACATAGTGAGACCCTGTCTCAAAAAAAACAAAACAAAACAAAAAAGACATAAATAAGGAAAATTAAAACATATAAAGAAGAGATACTGCTTTTCTTACTTCAGGGTACAGAAAGATTTCCCAAATAAGATTTTTGTAAAAGGCACAAGTCATAGCCAGGCAGGGTGGGTCATGACTACAATCCCAGCATTCTGGGAGGCCGAGGCAGGAGGGTCACATGTTAGAGCACAGCCTGGGCAACTTAGCGAGACCCTGTCTCAAACAAAAACACAGCTGAGGATGTAGATCAGGATGAAGGTGCTGGGTTCAGTCCCCAGTGGACGCACATGCACACACACACACACACACACACACACACACACACGTCAACTTCTGGCCTTGTAGCATGTGTGAGGCTCAGAGGGCAGGGAGGCACCAGCTGCTGTGCGGGGAGAAGGCCAAGGCCAAAGCTCAACAGAGGGAGGACCTGGGCCTTCACCTCTACATCGGGGACACTAGCGTGAGGCAGTTTTGTGGATTATGTTCTCATCAGCGACAGAAATAAAAGCATATAAAGTGACGCTGACTTGGCAGTTTAGTTTGTAATTTTCCAACTCTGTGTTTTTTGTTTCTTGGTACTGGGGATCGAACTTGGCTCCTTGTGCTTGCAAGGATGGCCGTGGAACCACTGAGCTAAATCCCTGGCCCTCCAAATTCTTTTAGTAGCCAATTAAAGTGGACATGATACAGTAAAATTTTATATACACATACCCTAAGAGCCAATTTTGTTCCAAGGTATCATATCGTAGTACAGAATTTTCACGCATGTGCCTACAAAAGCCTGTGTCAGATATCTTACCTCTGTTCTACACCTCTGGTGTGAATTGGAGTACGTTCTTTTAATTTCTTCAATCTTAATTTCCTTGCCTATCAAATGAAGTCAAGTCTACCTTACAATGATGCTGCGAGAATTAAAAGAAAATGCACCAGGGCCAGGGATTTAGACGAGTGGTTCTGCCACCTGCTTGGTAAGCACAAGGTCCCAAGTTCGATCCTGGTACCAAAACAGGAAAAAAAGAAAAGAAGAATCGCACGAACTACACAGTTTAGTGCATGGCAACCATCGAGTTTACTACTCAGATCTGCAACCCTTGCTCCGAAGGCTCGTGTTATTTTACCCATCAGCCCCGCATATATATTTCAAATCCCTCAGATTGCCTCCTTTTGGAGAAGAAAGATCCTATTATTAAAGAACCATGGCAAAAGGCCCCGAGTTCAACCCCTGGTACCAAAAAACAATAACAACAACAACAAAAATCATGGAGAAAGAGATAATCCTTTATCTCCAAAATTATATACTTAATATGAAGTAACTTGTTTGTTCTCTCATTTTATTCGTTAGCATGTTCATTCACATAATCTGATTAAATGTTCCCCAAACTTCATTAAACTCATGTAAAACAAAGCCACATGGCCAGGCATGGTGGTACATGCCTATAATCCCAGTACTTCGGGGAGGCTGAGGCAGGAGGATCACCTTGAGTTCAAGGCCAGCCTGGACCACATACCCAGTCTCCAAAAAATAAATAAATAAACAAACAAACAAGTCACATGATTCATGAAAATAGCAAGGTTAGTTTTGTGGTTTGTAGGCACAAGGAATTTAGCAGGTTATCAAGACCCGTGCAGAGGTTACAGGATAATCTATCCCCTCTCATATCCAAGGCAGAGAGATAGAAGCAATGGCAGTTTAAGCTCCCCAAAGTTCCCCCTAGATTACAGAAATCATTTTCATGAGAAATCCTTCAGTGAGAAATTATCCCAGCAAGAAAGCCGAGTTAGATAACAGAAAACGAAATTTCTGGAATCGCTCCCAGGAAGCACTGCCACGCTGGGGAAGGAGCAGCCCTGACAGCGGGGAGCAGCGCCGCGGCCTCACCTGGCCCACGTACGGGTAGGCGTCCTCGGAGTCGATGCCCCGGTTCTGCTGCACGTACTGGAAGGCGTTGGTCATGTAGCCGCCACCACAGCCGTCGTTCTCATACACACAGTCCACCAGGTTCTGGGGACTCAGATTTAAGAGCTTGCCCGTCTTCTTCTTGAGCTGGCCCTCCAGGGCGCCCACGGAGCTGAAAGCCCAGCAGGAACCGCACTGACCCTGAGAGGCGTGCAGAGAGACGGTCAGTCCTGGGCTTCACACGGTCCCTGTCTTCTCTCCGCCTGCCCGATGACATCCCTGGTGCACCTTACAAACCCACACGCATACTGTCTGGGTGGTGAGGCCTTTCTGTTCCCCTCACTAAATCCCCTGCCTACTCCTGCTGCTGCAGGTAACTGTGGGCCCGGAGCTGCCGTACAGAGAGAAAGCAGACGCCAGTCTGTGGAGGCGGCTCCTGGGCCCTGTTCCAACACGCATGGTACACTAGCTGCGTGGCCTTGGGCAAGTCACTGCGGCACTCGGTGCCTCAGTTTCTTACCTGTACAATGTGAATCTTGTCCTTAGTGTACTTAGTTTCATGAAGATTAAGAAATTAGAATTTGTTTATGCTGACAGAGTGTAGCTTTTTTCCTTTCTTGATCTTTTAAGATAGAAAAGTTCTTGAGGACACAGGAACAGGTTATTTATTAGCCACTTTGTATCTCTACTGCCTACCACTGTAGTTACCTGGTAGGTTCTAGGGGAGAAATATATAGTAATTTGTTAAATAAATGTTTGTTTGTTTGTTTTTTTTTTTTTGGTACCGGGAATCGAACTTGGGTTCTTGTGCTTACAAGGCAGGCAGCGGAACCACTGAGCTAAATCCCCAGCCCAAATAAATGTTAATTATTATTTTAAATTTAATTTAATTTTATTTTGCAGTACTGGGGATTCAACCCTGAGGACTCTACTGCAGAGCTAGACCGCCTTTTTAAATGTTCATTTTGAGACAGGGTCTCTTTAAATTGCCTAGGGTGTTCTCGAACTTTGGATCCTCCTGCCTCAGCTTCCCAAGTAGCTGGGACTTTTAGGCATGTACCTCACACCCAGCTCCACTGTTCATCTTATTGATAAAAACCTGTGTTAATATTATAGAAAAGTGGCATTCTCATATTGGCAAGAAAGTAAGATTGTAAAAACTTTTTGGAAACTGTGACCCTTTGCTTTTTTTTTTTTTTTTTTTTTTTTACGGGGATTGAACTAGGGTCCTTGCGCTTGCAAGGCAGGCCACCAAACCGCTGAGCTAAATCCCTGGCCCTGGAAACTGTGACCAAACATTTCCAATTTTTTTTACTAAATATTTCTACAACTCACACACACACACACACACACACACACACACACACACACACACGAGCACTTACTGCAACACTATTTGTAACAAAGAAGATTCAGAAACAAATGTACAAAAATAGGTAATGAGTTCAGTAACAGAACAGAGCTGTATTCTCTTAGCACAGAGAGACATACCTTAATTTTTCTCTCCCTATTTCCTGGTACCCGCCTACTTCAAGACTGAAACACCAGCAAAAGGCACAGGCCGTGCCAGGTTATCTGTGTGCACACAAGAGAGTACCTGGTTCTTGACAGGAGTAACATAGCCCTTCTTCCGGTAGTCGACAGAATCGGGAACCCTGCCTTCCCAGTCTGGGATGTAGGTGTCGTTACTGTGGGAATGAGAGGGAGGGACTTTGAGCCCAGTCATCTTCTGAACCACTTCTTCACTGGTCTGAGACAAAGAAGAGAGAGACCAGGCATTAGCAGGAAGTTAAAGCAGACATGGCAGGTGGGCCGGTGGCTAAGGCTTGACTCACCAGGTCTCCCAGGTGGTTCATGGACAGCTCGTACGTGTGGACGCCTAGAGAGGCCTCCAGGTTATGGATGGAAATATGCTTTAGGTTTCTCTCCCAAATTAAGCGCCGAGAGATTTCATCCACCTAAACAGAGCATTGTCATACTTGCACCTACTGACATACACGTACAGTTACATAGATAGTACTGTGGAGAAAAGATGCAACTTAAAACTATAAAATGGGGCCGGGGTTTAGCTCAGTGATGCCACACCTGCCTGGCAAGTGCAAGGTCCTGAGCTCGATCTTTGCTACCAGAAGAAAAAACAAAAAATTGTGAAAAGTAGTCTAGTTGAGGAACCATGGATTAAGAGTATACAAAAAGAAATATGTAAACAAATACAAATAATATAATGCAAAGCTCTGGAACGATCAATAGAAAATTGCTGAGATTAATAGAATCAATAGGATTTTTTTTTTTTGTGGTGGTGCAGAACCCAGGACCTTGCACACGCTAGGCAAGGGCTGTACCACTGAGCTATACCCTTGGTCAAGACAACTGCACAGCCAAGGATGAGTAGGTTTTGACAAATGAGCTGAGGTACGGACATGAAGCTGGGGAACAAGACAGGTTTACTTTGTTGGAATAAAGTTCTTTATTTGGATTCAGGAAGGGAACCAGAACGGAGACCTGACACCCAACTCTCCCACCGCGCTCCCGGCCCCAGGCACCTTGCCATTATACTGCTTCCGGTAGGTCTTCTTCCATAGCTCCCACTGAGGGTCCAGTATCTCCTCGGGGTACAGCGCAAGGCTCACCACGGGCAGCAGCAGAACCTGGAGCCCCCACATCCTGGGGAAGGGAATAATTGGGGAGACTCTTCCATGTGGCAGGGGAGCCACATCCTGGCTTAGGATGAAGAGGTGGAGCCGTACTCCTGAGAGGTTGCTCTTAACCCTTGAGGAGTCACAGGTTTCATTCAAAAGCTAATAGAAGTACAGCTGCTCTCAGGAGAAAAGATAATAATGCACGGGCAATAATCCTTGGGGACTCATGAATCCAGATAAGAAGCCCTTCCTCTGAGCCCTGAGACAGAGGAAAACTTGGCTCTCTGAGGAAGGCAGACAAGGAATTGAGGGTGGTTTTCATGGTAAAACAATGAGAGGAAGAGCCTGGGTTTGCACGAGATATAGGTTTCTCTGGTTCCAAGAAGTCTGACAGGGAAATACAATACACACACACACACACACACACAACCAGAAATGGGCTGGAGGCCAGACAACTGGGATGGGCTTTGAAACTGTCTTCAACGTTGGGGTTGGACAAAGTAAGAATAAGATGGGAATGGCACTGGAGGATACACAGATTTTCAGCTTTTCTTCCTGGAATGCCTAAGTCAACACTTCCAGATCTTGCCAGGAGAGGAGAGGGGAAGAGTTGACAGTATTTCCTCATTTAACTGAGGCATTTATTCTCCTCACTCTCATACACTTCCCCTCCCCCTTAGGCAGGAAACTGGGCTAATCTCAACCAGATGCTGTGGACGGGACGTTTCTTTTTTTTTTTCCAACAATAAACATCTGTTGCTGCCTCACAGGGCAAAAGACTCAGTCAAGGTTAGAAAAATGTAGAATGGAAGAGCAATGTCCTATAATGATTAAATTCACAGATTTTTAAAAACAGCTTTCTTCAAAGCCAAGCCTCGCTCATTTCCTGCACTGGTTTAACTGCGAGTCCTTCAGTTTAAGAACAATCCAGTCTCCAGCAAGTCATACGAACCATGCAGCGCTAAGTTTATAGTTCATTTTTATGTAATCTTTACAAATTGGCAAAATGTCCAACAGGACATTTAATAGCTGGCATGTTAAGGGCCTAGAGATGCCAGCACAGAAATATGAAGCTACCACCAACTGGTACTGTTCTTACTCCTCCTCAGTCAGTTAACTCTTCTGGTCCAAGGAGAAAATGACTGGCTGCTTTTGAGCTACGAGCAGAGGATTTCCTAGTCCTTCGCTTTTACTTAGCATGTACTAACAAGCGTATGGTACGTACGGCCATACGAGGAATCCTAGACTTACAGGCAGGTTTTATCTGGCCAGGAAATGAACTAAGAAGGGCATCTGTTTTCATCCAGAGCCTATAAAGTTCATTTTGATCCCCAACTCACTACATCCGATTCTCTTAAACAGACTAAGAAGCTAAACGATCTAATAAGTTGAAAATGTTACCTGAAGCTGGGAATCTCGTCTGGGGTCCTTTCAGGCAGGAAATGTGGCTAATGAGGCCAAGGGTGCTAGATTTATTCCATCAGGATTGCGGAAGTCAGCCACAGCAGTTGGCTGGAAAATTTGGATAAGACAGGGAGGCGGGGACAGAAATGTTAGGGGGGTAAGGGTGGAAGGAGGCAGCATGTTTGCAGTGTTCCTGTCTGCGCAGTGTGTGCCAGGATGAAGAGCTGCTACTTAAGTCTCACATGACTCTCTAGAGGCAGACAAAAGACAGTGCACATTGCTCGAGTTGGGGTACACTTTCTCCTTTAATGGGGAAATGACGGACACAGCCTTGGTCTTCCTCATCCTCCTCCTTTAAATCCTTTATTATAATACACTGCATCTTTTCCTTTGTTATCACCCAGACCCACCTAACACTGAAACCTGTTTTTAAAGTTGTGGCTGACCCACACCTCTGGAATAACAGAATAAACACAAAAGGCTAGAAGTAACATAAGTAAGGCAAGACACAGGGTCCAAAGTTGTTCGTGTTTTATGAGGTGGTTGTCTGAAGATGCCACTGCTTCTAGGAAGGGGAATAGCTTTCCCGGCCTAATGTGATTTTGTAGAGGGAGGATCTGCGGAGAAAGTCAGATGAAACTGGTCTGAAGTAGCCAGTGCTCCTGGCTGTTTCGGGCAGCGCCTGAATCAATGAACTGGTGCACGCCTGAATCAATGAACTGGTGCACTCCTGCGGACTCTGCTGCTAAAGCCTAAGATGGTAGGGTGTCTGATGAGCATTATGCCTCAACTGTTAAAATCCCCAATCCAGGAGATCACATGAGCTTCTGCAAATGCTTCCCTGAACCCTACCCATGTGACAAATCATGAGTTTAGCTCAGCTACCCCACCCAACTTAATTTTCTTCCATAAACAGATGTGGGGAGAGATGAAAAGATGATCCCTGGAATAAAGGGTAAGACATGGAATTTAGATTCAGTTCTAAGCTGGATTCCACGAATAAGCTCTCAAGAACATACTTATGCCTCTGGACCTTGAGTTGTTAATGAACCACATCTAGCCCTTCTAGAGGGAAACCAGGTCCAGACTTGAAGAGTTTAAATTTCCCAATCCTGAGCTAGGTGTTGTGGCGCATGCCCATAAATCCCAGTACTTGGGAGGCTGAGGCAGGAGGATCATCTCCTGTTGAGGCCAGCCTGGGCTAAAAGTGAGTTCAAGGCCAGACTAAGCTACCTTGTGAGACCCTGTCTCAAAAAACAAAACAAAAACAAATTCCCAAGCCCTAATTCTTTTTAACCCAAAGGACTTAACAGGGAGAGAGGTATCCAGATGTGCCCAGTGGTTTGGAACCCCAACTCTTCCCCCATCTCTCTCAAAGGCTTGGGCAACCCCCACCCCCACAGAGTGTGGTCAGAACATCCTGGCCAATCTTACTCAGAATGCGTCAGGGTCAGGAGGACGAGTGAGGAGGAAGCGAGCTGAGTGATCAAGGCCCTATGATGTCTGATCCCTGAAATGAAAGACTCACACTGTGTGTTTGGAGCTCAATCTATGGATTCCTTTAGTTGTGAATGTCTGCTGTTTATGAGCCGAAAAGGAGTAATAAAGTCGCAATCGAGATCACACAACACAAGAACGTTTACAAAAGGAAAAATATTTTGTTTTAAAATCTTTGCTACATGTCATTATTTTTGCCACTGTATTAGCACAGATGCCAGCAATACAGAAATGGCCAACAAAAAAACAAAACAAAACAAAAAACAATCAAAAATAAAACCCTGAAGGAAAAGCAGAAACAAAACCCCCAGAGCATCTTCTCCCTCCCAGGTCCCCCCCCCCCAAAACCCTATAACTGTACAATATTATAGTCTTGATCACATTTAAAAACAATTGATTATTAAAAAACAAGGATTCCATTGGAAACTCAACTTTTTGGTTTCATAAATTGTGATATAAATATATATGTATACTGTATGTGTGCACATAGCATAAAAAAATAAATTGTCTCCTTTCCACTGCATTACCTGGCACCAGACTGGAGACAGAAGGAAGAGACCAGTAAGTAACATCCCTCAGCCTCTCCAAGGTTGTCTGTGCTCCTAAGTCTCCTACAAATACACTTAACATGTCTTCCAATCTACTCAGTCTTGCACTTACATGCTAGCTGGAGCCAGTTAAAAAAAAATTGTTTTTGGGGGGCGGTACCAGAGATCAAACTTAGGACCTCGTGCTTGCCAGGCAGGTACAGTGCCACTGAGTTACATCCCAGGCCCTAAAAAAATTTTACAAGGCTGGTACACGTGATTTACCTGAGGAAGGTAAAGGGTGAGAGCAGTAACCTGTATCCACAATTATATGGCTATAATTACCAAGTGACCCTGTTAGGGTGGGAGTCCAGGACCCCATAGCACACAGAATTATTATACTTGTGCTCTAAAGCAAAATCCAACCTCAACATTGGAGGGGGAGCAAAGAGGAAAGACTTACAGGCCAGAAGAGGCTGGAATCTGCTTCTTGCTAGATGAGAGATTTTTAAGGATGGAATAAAAGAGGCTATTTTGCAAGAGACTTGGTATCTGTTTTACACTTCAACAGTGAGGATTTTCACTGGGACTGTTAATCCAAGAAGTTGAGTTTCCATGCAGAAATAACCTCTATACAACACACATCATGTGTGATTCTGACAGAAATATGCAGCATTAACCTTATGGACAAGTCTAAGGTTTCTAAAAGTGTTTATCTTGCCAGCCTATTTCGGTAATGTTTGCCGATCTTTCCAAGTACGGTGAGCACCAAAAGCGGGACTGATCCAGCTTTATCACTAAATATGTTTGGTAAGAGACCAACCATTATCAACAAGACTTTGCCTACAGTTGCACTTTGGCTGGGCACAGATAGAAGTGCAGCAAAGATATCTATTGAAATACTCTTTGGCTGCAATACTAAGTGGAGAATACTTGGAAGATTTAACGCCTTAGAACTCTTTGAAGAGCATACAGAAAGTCAAAGATAAAATCTGGGACAGATTTGCATAACTCCCTCGTAGGGAGGAAGAAACACAAATACACAGACACACAGACACAGACACACACACAGATGCACCGATGCTCACTCGCACATGTTTCCTTCCAGAAGAACTGCTCACAGGTAACAGAAAGAACCTGTACTCACTTCCTAAAGCCCCACAATACCTACCATGTTTCATGGTGCTCAACTGTGAGGGTATTTCTCCTTCTTTTCCACCCAATTCAGAATTTCTTTCCAAAATTGGCCATAGTCTCCAAGGCAAATAAATAGTAGGTGTAGGTTCTTCTAACCTGTCCCTTCACCCCGGCACAAATTATCACTGTGCAACTTCTGGTCAGGAGATGTAAGGAGAGCCATTCTACCTCTCCTAGCCTCGATTTTCAGAGTGCTAAAGGCCTTGGGGATTCATTTCATCTCATCTACAAATGTTATCTCAGTGAGGCAAGGGTGGGAGCTAGGAAGGTCCAGCAGGGAGAGAGGGGTACATGTGAGGGGTGAGGGAAGGGAAGGGAGAGGAACTTTTATTCTGTTTACAAAAGATTTGTTTTTAAAAAACAAACAGTATTTTTTCTCCCCCACCCCTTATCCTCACCCCAATAGTTCTATTCTGAAAAGGAGGGAAACATAGTTAGATCAGGAAATTCTTCATTGTTGTAGCTGTTGCTCTGGTCTCCCAGCATGGATAGCATCTCCTAATGAAAGAAAAAGATTATATTTTAGTCCCATACCCTTACATTTAGCAAGTTCTCCCCCAGCATCCCAAGGAGTCCCTGCTGTGCTGAGCTCTCTCAGCCTTCCTTATTCAAGCGCTCTGACTCCTCAGACCACAGCCTTTTCCCCAGCTCCTTCTGTCTTCCTTCTTCTACAGTTCCTGCAATGACTTTTTCTCTCCTCCTCCTACCTGGTATTTTCAAAGGGAGAAAAGCCTGCTTGCCGTATTTCACATAAGCTGTCGTAGACACCACCCTACTAGTTTTCCACCAAAGTCTATTTCGCCTTCTGCACTCTATGCTTTACGTGACCTGGTCCTTTGTCCAAGCTTAATCTGTTCACTCTTATGGTCCCCTTAGGACTTGTGTGAACAGGCCTTTATAACCGCCCCTGTGTTCTGTTTTACATACTTATTTTTGGTAGTGGGGACTGAACCCAGGGCCTTCACCCCGAGCTATCCCTAGCCCTTCTGTATTTTGAGACAGGGTGTCTCTAACTTGCTCAGGCTTGTTTCCAACTTATAATCGGTCTGCCTTAGCCTTCCAGGGTGCTAGGATTACAGGCCACGGCTTCATACACTTCTGAAAAATTGTCTTGCCCATCTTGAACCCAGAGCTACTATGAACTAAGGATACGGATCTCTGTGAATGAGCTAAAATAACTTTCTTCAGCTTTCCATGCTGTGTCAAATCACTACCGCCGTCCAGTCTGCCGAGAGGGCGGGCATCAGACTCAATTCACACTTCTCAGTTACTGACACCGATCCCCACACATCCCGTCTTCTCACACACACACCTCCAACCAGCCAATACCTTACTCCGGGCACGCTCCCTTCTCCGTCTCTCCTCCCATCCACTCCATCCTAGTTTCTGTCCTGAAGTCTTTGCCCGCTCACCTGGAAGACCTCGGGCTGGCTAGGTTGCTGTGCAGACGGCTGCTGAACATGTTCACTAGAACCGGACCGGTGATGAGGCTGCTGGCCCTGCCACTGTGGCCAGACACCCACGCCCTCTGCTGTCCGTGTCTGGAATTGTCCTGCAGTCTGTCCAGCCTCAGGAGCTAGAAACACAGTAAGGCACACACATCCTGTCTGTTAGCCCGTCTCACTGGAGAGGAGAAAGGAGTGCAGAGCTACAGCCGCCACTTCTGCCCTTCCTATGCTGATCGGTGCTGCTTCTGTTTCACAGCCCAGTTCCAAAACACCTTTTCTTCTGTAGACAGTGTTCCCAAAGAGTTCTTTGCTCATTTGGGCTGTTAAATATCATGCTTTGTGCAAATTTCACATTAAAAAAATTATAAATATTACAAAATTTTACATATTTACAAAACATTTACAATATCTTGTCATTTGTGCCAAAGTATTTTTCAAGTGTGTAGTTACAGACGACACCTTGCATCTCCCTATGATTAGGTCAGTGCTCAGGGGCCACAAATGAATCATCTCAGCTATAAAATCCTTTCTCTTTAGTGGAGTTGCAGTAGGGCTAGGAGTGCAATTCAGCGGCAGAGCATTGGCACAGCGTGTGTATGAAGCCCAGTACCGAAAGGAAAAGTTCCCTTTAGAGGTGTAACTTTCCGACGATTCTCCTTCCAGTCGGAACTCACCAAAGCTGGGTCCACGACCTGTGAGAGGAGGGTAGGCAGCGGCACCAGGGGACGCGGTGGGTGCACCAGGAAGAGACATGGAGCTGAAGGAGGACGGGGTCTGAAAGTTGCCTACACCAAACTGGGAAGAACGCGTCTTAGCTGTCGCCTGTGTAGCAACCTGCTGAGAACAGAAGGGATAGCGGGCAAGAGAGAAGAGAGCACTAACGTTAGCGCACAGACCACGTGTACGAGCGTCCGCTCATCAGTCACTGTGATCTTCTGGCTGCAGCTCATCACTACTTCTAACTATCATTTCCTCTGATTAACTGTCAATCTCTCTCTCTTTTTTTTTTTTGGTACCGGGGATTGAACTCAGGACCTTGTTTGCAAGGCAGGCGGCAGAACCACTGAGCTAAATCCCCGGCTGTCAATCTCTCTTGACACTATTTTTTAGGTAGGCGAGATAAAAGGGCAAAGAACAAGAGTAAGCTGTGAGAATTAAATGAAAACATTTTATAAACTATGGTTACATAAAACTAGAGGCAACAACAATAATAATAATGGAGTATTATATACCGAGAAAAATAATTTGCACTCTTTTAATATTATTATTTGAAGTCCTGGAGATTGAACCCAGGACTTTTAAACCGAGCACATACTCAGCCCCTTTTTTATTTTGAGATAGGCTCTTGCTAAATCATCCAAACTGAGTTTAAACTTGCTATCCTCCTGCCTTACTCCCAGATTACACCACCATGCCTGACACTTTGTATCCTTTTCTTTTCTTTCTTTTTTTGGTTTTTTTGAGACAGGGTCTCACTATGTAGTTGAGTCTGACCTGGAATTCACTATGTATCCCAGGCTGGTCTTGAACTCACAGTGATCCTCCTGCCTCAGCCTCCCAAGTGCTGGGATTACAGGCGTGTGCCATCACGCATGGCTTTTTTGTAACCTTTTCTTATTCAGTGTGTTCCGCATTCCTTTTGAGACAGGGTCTCACTATGTAGCTCAGTGGCCTTGAACTCACTACTGTAGTCCAGGTTGGTCTTGAACTCACAGCAATCTTCCTGCCTCAGCCTTCTGAATGCTGGGATAACCAGGATGCACCACCATGCCTGGTTGTTCTGCATTCCTTTGTTCCTAATGTCTTTTATTTTTTTAACATTTTTTCTCACCAGAATAGTCATTTGAAATATTTGGAAAAAGGCAAAGAAAAGAAGAATTATTCAGAATTCCATCACCAGAGACCTATGGTTAACATTTTTCAATAATTAATTCATTTTATTTTCCTATTTTCTAAAGATGCATGTTAAAAGTCTGTCAAGAGAAACTACTCTTTAGCCTGCATACTCATTTTTCATAGTTCCAGAATACAGATCACTGAAAAAATTTCTTCAATCCAAAGAAATTCTTTACTCCAAAAAGAGTTTGCCCTCATGAAAGCAGCCATCTTCACATCCTCAAAATCTTTCATGCAGTCATGGTTTGTGAGACATCTATGAATATCATCTTTCTTGATTCTGCCACAGCAAACTTACAGAGACCAGCAACCCTCAGAGAGACAATAAACCCTTTGACAATAGGGAATCACCGAGGTAGGCTGTCTTGGTTTCTTAAAGCACAGAAACCACAGTAGTGTTGGTCCTCGAGAGCAGTGACCTTCCTGGATGATGGAGAAACAGCCTTCTGCGCATTTTTACACAACTGCGATCATAATGCAAAATAACCATTTTGAAGCCTATTTTTGCTTCTGATTTTTCATTTTAAAAAAGTATTATTTATGCATATAAATATACAGCGATGTATTAAAGGATATTTGCTTTAGGCTTTGCTTATTTACTATGCATCATACACATGGATATAAGGATTTTTCCCTTTTTTGTAAATACACATCATTGTATGTAACTAGTACTTTTCTCTTTTATTTGTTTCTATGTTGTGCAATACTAATCAAAGAGGAAACTTTTTTTTTTTTTTTTTTTTTTTTGGTTTTTTTTGAGACAGGATCTCACTATGTAGTTGACACTGACCTGGAGCTCACTATGTAGCCCAGGCTGGTCTTGAACTCACAGTGATCCTCCCGCCTCAGCCTCCCCTGTGCTGGGATTACAGGTGTGCACCAAGGTTATTATGTAAGAAACATGGACTCTAATGAGATTTCTGGATTATCTTGTTTTAATTAACTAGCTGCTCTCAAAATACCAAAAATTAGAAACTGGAGGATGAAGATTAACCACTTAAATTGGGTGTGGTGGTACACATCTAATCCCAGTACTCTAGGAGGCTGAGGCAGGAGAACCTAGCCTGGGCTACAGAGAGTTTAAGTACAGCCTGAACTATACAGAGAGATCCTGCCTCAAAAAACCACCCACCTACCCACCCACCCCCGCTCTCGCTGTCCCCCTACGGAGCATTGTTCTGGCAGGTGTTATTTCAACCAATCGATTCTTGTATTGAATAAATTTGATAAAACTGTCATTTTATAATAATAATTGTTTTACAATGTAACAATCTTTTTTTTAAGATAACAATCTTATCCTGCAAAAATTCATGGAAAAAATATGCAATTTTTGTCATCCTGTATTTAAATAGTTGGACTGGTAAGTGGTTAAGAACAAGTTATGTAAGAGACAATAATGTGAACAGAAACATGTGAAAAGAAAGCCAAACCAACCAAACAAAAACAATACATAGGGATGAGACAGATGAGAAGCTTCACCTGGGCAGAGAAGCCTGAGCGGGTACTCGGGGTCCAGGCTGGGGCTGCTCCCTGGGAAGGGTTGGAGTGGCGGGAAATCTGGGCCAACATCTGTCCCGCCGAAGATGATGGCTGGACAATGGTTACAGGAGGGGCCAGACCACTATTCCTAAGAATGAACAAATGGCGAATAAATGATTAAATGGATAGATTCATCACAGAATCCAGGAATCAAAGAACAATCTAATACTACTAGATCCCCTTGACTTCCTTGGATTTAAGGAAAATTTGGTAAAAGAATTTGGAAAAAACAAGAAAGACCAACAGCCACACACTGACCAGGACACACAAGGATGGAACCAAGAAGATTGCAATAGGACAGGTGCAAAGAAATAGGCAGAGGGCTGGGGATGTAGCTCAGCAGCACTGTGCCTGCCTGGTAAGCACAAGGTCCTGAGATCAATTCCCAGTACTGAGGGGGGGGAAAAAAAAAAAAGAAATAGGTAGGGGAAAAAAGCAGCTCCTCTGTTCACTCTAGGCCTTACAAGCTCTACTGCTTTGCCTGAAATAACCAGAGAAAGCAAGAGAAGAATGAAAGTTGGATTTAGCCGTGGAGTTCCTCAAGGCCTTAAAAAGCAGCACACATACATGGGGCTCACCTGAAATTCTCTGCCGGCCGGGGGTTAGGAGGGAATGAGCCGCCCTGGGAGAACAGCTGTTGGGTGGCGGGGCCAGTGCTGGAGGAGATGCCTTTACTCTGATCTGCGGACCAAAAGGTGCGGGGGAGGGGCAGTCAAGGGCTGCAGTACACCATTCCGCAAGTTCTAGTACTCCTGGGGCTCTATGTTTAAGGGGAACTACGTCGGAAGATTACTGATTGGACAGCAACAGGCTCACAAGTAGGAATTTCAGAATGAGAATCTGAAAAAGGATTGAGGAAGAATCATACCCGCATTGATGCTAGAATAGATTTCTGAAAATCTTGGATCTCTATCCTGGGCAAAGAGAACATCTGACTTTTCAAGGGTCTTGCCATGTTCTGGCCCTGTAGAAGCCACAGGCTGAACAGAAACCTATGGAACAAAATGATGAAAGTACTCATTAAAGATTTAACATAATTCAATAACCCCCAAATTCACATAAAATATACATACACCTTGACGGGCACCGTGGGACTTTTTTAAAGGAAATGCTCACTGTCCTCTTCAAAGGTGACACACACTCACCTGGGAATGATTGTAGCTGGCCAGTCCATCTCTTCCTGGTACCATGTCCAGTTCTGTTTGCTGTTGCTGCTGCCTACATGATAATCAGTGTGGAGAAAAACAGGAAAAAAATTTTAAGAATCAGTAGTAGAAAGGGCCTTAAAAAATAAACCACCTAATAAAAACATGGGATTGCAGATGGCCACCGCTTGGCAGTGACCACTCAGTAGATGACTGTTTCACCATTTCTTACCTGGGTGCCAGCTGCCCTGAGCCCATCTCCAGGGGTAAATTAGCTGTGGGACCCAGCTGAGACCTCTGGACGGTGTGAGACAGGGTAGGCCGTGCTTCCTGGCTAGAGTTCCTGTGAGAGTAAGAACAGAGAAAGAGAAAGACAAAGAATTTGACTCTGTACACAAAGCGTTACATATTCACACATAGGTGGGATAATCACTCTTCTTGAAAGACAGATCCCATAATACCAACTCCTCATGATGGATCTGCTATGTATTATAAACACGTACTAATAAAAAAAAAGTGTAATTCCATAATTCAAATTACCGACAACATGGCACAAATACAAACTAGGTCCCAAGGCACAAACAAGGGTTCAGGCTGTTTGGGCTGTAATTCCTAGGTATTCAATACCTAGTTGTTATGGGTGATGTTTACTGTTTTTTCTTTAAAACCATAAGTAAAAAACTCAAAGTAAAGATACTGAAATGTTATCAAAGACTACCTGGAGCATGAGAATTTAAAAAAAATATCTATACTTTTTTTTGTTTGTTTTTTGAGACAGGGTCTCACTATGAGGTTGAGACTGACCTGGAACTCACTATGTAGCCCCCCAGGCTGGTTTCGAACTCACAGGATCCTCCTGCCTCAGCCTCCCAAGTGCTGGGATTACAGGTGTGCGCCACTATGCCCAGCCCTTATATATACTTTTTTGTTTTTGGTTCTTTGAGACAGGGTCTCCCTATGTAGTTGAGACTGATCTGGAACTCACTATGTAGCCCAGGCTGGTCTTGAACTCACAGCAATCCTCCTGTCTCAGCCTCCCGAGTGCTGGGATTACAGGCATGCGACACCATGCCTGGCTTTATATATACTTTTCAATACCCTCCAAATAAAAAAATAAATAAGCCAGGAGTGATGACACATGCCTGTAATCCCAGCTACTTGGAAACTGGAGACAGGAGGATTACAAATTCACAGGCATGCCCAAGCAACTCAGCAACACCCTGTCTCAAAAGAAAAAAAGAAAGGGCTGGGGAACGAAGCTCAGTAGTAGTTTGTCTAGGAGGTGCAAGCCCTTGGGTTCAATCCCCAGTACCACACACACACACACACACACACACACACACACACACACACACACATGGTGGGAAAATAATATATAAAAGAGAAGATACAATTATACCAGAACTTTAAATCTACAAAAGGACTTAAATTTTTCAAAATCTGGATCTGTGGAATGTAGCTCAGTGATAGGGTGATTGCCTAAAATGCATGACACCCCGTGTCTGATCCCTAGCACTACCAAAGTTTAGAAAAAAATTTCAAAATTTAAATAAAATGGGAACATAAAGTGATGGCACTCACTTGTAACCCTAGATACTCAGGGGACTAAGAGTTGGAGACTATCCCGAGCAATACAGTAAGACCCTGTCTCAAAGTAAAATTTAAGGGCTGGGGATTTAGCTCAGTGGCACTGCACCTGCCTCACAAGTGCAAGGTCCTCAGTTCAATCCCTAGTACCAAAAAATATATATATCCCCAGTACCACACACACACACACACACACACACACACATTAATTAATCAAAATAGAATTTAAAAGGGCCATGGATGTAGTTCCGTGGGGAGAGCAACTGTCTAGCATGTGTGAGGCCCTGGGTTCAAACTTCAGTACCACAATAATGACTAAGGTATATATTTGAGTCGTAAATTACTAAAACTTTCTAACTCAGTGTACTGTACTTTATTGTTAGTTAGCAAGGAACTAAACTTTATGTTCCCAAGAGGTTCAATGGGATATATTATTATCCCTGGTATCATTATTCATAACCTGACCTTCAAGAGGCGGATTCAAAACCAGTTCTACAGAAGTGGCCTAAATGGTGTGAAGAGATAACCTGACAACTGATAACCACTTTGGTGGTGTCAGGGCTTGTGTCTGGATGCCCTCAAAGCCTCAGGTGAAGAGGTGGCTGGACCTAGGGTGTGAGTGGCACCACAGAAAGGCAGGCTTGGTTGCTGCTGCTCGCTGCTTCTTCACTGCTGCTGCTGCTGCTCTGCTGCCTTCTGCCCATCCTCTTTGGCATGGACTGTTGTCCCTGTGGTGCCTCTCTGCTATGCCGCCCTGCCTTGAACCAGATGACTATGGACTGCAACCTCTGCAACCTCTGACTCAAATAAACCTTTCCTCCTTTAACTTGTGGGTGTTGGGTATTTTGTCACAGCAGCAGAAGTACCTAAGACAGATTTTGTACCAGAGAAATGGGGTTGCTGTGCGACTGTACCTGACCATGCTGTTCAAAAGCCTTTTGAAATGGCTCGTGGGAAGAGTTTGGAAAAGTTTGGAGATGCTGGCTGATCAAGCAGCCTTAGAATGCTTTGAGCTATACTTAATGAGAGATTCTGGTCAGAGCTCTGAACACCAGAATGCTGACAGAAATGCAAGGTAAACCTCTGAAACTGTGAGACAAAATAAACTTTTCCTCCTTCGTAGTTCTCAAATTATGTGGTCAAAGCAATAGAAAGCTAACATACCATGTAGCCCAGCAGTTTTATTCCTGGATATATATACACTAAGAGAAACAGAAGCAAATTTCCACACAAAAACTAGTACAGAAATGTTCACAGCAGCATTCAAAATGTATCACAGGCACACAATGGAGAATTATTTGGCAATAAGAAGAAATGAAGGACTGATACATGGTATAACATGAGTGACCCTGAAAACACTATACATATTACACTACTGTCACAAAGGAGCCACCTATTCTATGATTCTACTTACATTAAACATATAGAAAAGGCAAATTTATAGAGGCAGTGCATTAGAGGTTGTTATAAAGCTTCAAAAGAAATAGGGAGAATGTTACTGGGTATTGCATTCATTTTTTCTTTGTTTTTTTTGAGACAGGGTCTCACTATGTAGTTCAGGATGGTCTTAAGCGCACTACGTAGCCCAGGCTGGCCTCAAACTTGAGGTGATCCTTCTGCCTCAGCCTCCCAAGTGCTGGGATTACAGGCGTGCAACACTGTGACCAGGTAGTGAGGATAAAAATGTGCTTAAATTAAGATTGTGGCAATCATGGAATAACTGTGTGGTACCCTAAAAACACTACTTTCAGTAGATGAACTGTACAGTACATGAAACTGTCTCAATAAAACATTTTTTAAAAAGCTGAAACAGAAAAGAAGAGAAACTAAGAATAATTGGATATATTTGTGGTCTAAGGCAAATCATGGTCTATGCACCAAATCCATCTCACTGCTTGCTTTTGTAAATAAAGGTTTACTGGAACAAAGCCATGTAAATTTAATTTCTCTCTGAATATTTTCAAGCTGTAATACCAGAGCTGAGTAGTTGCAATGCAGACTGTATGGCCCACGAAGTCTAAAATATTTACAACCTGGTCCTTTACAGAAAGAGTTTGCCCAACCCTGGCTTTAGATTAAAATTCTGCCAGACTAAAGCAATAAACTCGTTATAAAAAAAATCGTTAACACTGAAACATAAGCAAACCCTTTCATCTGATGACATACTCTCTGGATAATTGTTTATTAAAATCTTTTTCTACCTTGATCGACTATATCAAATCCTGTAAGATGGAAAAGAAGGAACTTTAAAATAATAGTGTTTAGTACTAGAAAAGGAAAGGAGATAGTTTCATAAGGCTAAGCAGACTTAGCACACAAAAATGCCAACCCTGGAAAAGGAAGGAAGGGTACATACTTCACAATGGTATTGGTACAGATGATGTACTCAATTTCATCTGAGTAAGGGTTCTGGAAGGTAAAGGAGCTGGTTCTCATCCAGAGCCATTCTCGATTCTTAGACCGAAACCGGAACATGACAGACAGCACCTGGCCTTTTAACTTCACCACCTAAAAAGGTTTTCATGCTATCAGTGGAATTCAGGGACAAAAAAAAGCTTCCCCCCCCAATTAAAGAAAAATGTTACCATTTCTACAATCCCAAGACTCCTGTGGTGTTTTCCCTGAAGCACCAGTCTTTTTCAATGTTAAGACAACATAAGAAGGCTGGGATGTAGCTCAGCGGTACAGTGTTTGCCTAAAGGGCACAAGGCCCTGGTTTGATCCCCAGTATCAACCCCCCCAAAACAAACAAAAAAACCAAGGCAGGTAAAACTAAGTGATTAAATAAAGAGAAAGTGTATTTATCACATTTTTTTCCCAGAGTCCCATGTGATGTGACCATTCTAGTCAAATAAAAATAACAATTCTTTTCAGGAGAGAATGCCATTTCTCCACTTTTGTTGAAAAGTCCATTAAAGAAATGCTGAGCTACCTTTACAAATCTAAACGAGAAATTTAAGTTCAATGGCAATTAATATAGTTTATGCATTGCTCTTCCATCCTAGATTTTTCTCCTAGACCTGAGAATTTATTTTCACAGTATGCATGTTTTCTACAAATAAAGTTGGTTTTCGTCTTATTTTGCTTTTATTTTTATAAAAGTAAGCTCCACAAAACTTAAGTTTAGACTATATTAGTTTCTAGTGTCATGAAAAAGAAAGTAATCTTTTGATTCTTCCAAACATTAAAAAAAAAAAGTAGCAAATAAATATGCTACTATGTGTCAACTCCTGGGGTTATGTGCCTTATTTCCATTATTTAAACTTCCCGACAACTCTCTGTATTATTATACCTACTGTATCTATAAAGATACTACTGAGACTTACAGAGGTCAATTAACTTGTCTAATAAGAGCTGTTAATGAAAGCAAAGTCTATTACATTCACCAAATATTTTTAAACTGCCAATTATCTATAAAAGAATTTTGGGAAACAAATGTTTGTACTATAATCCACAGACTAGTAAATCCTGTGATACTTTAAATAGTTTGAAGACAGTTCCTTGGCTAGAACTAGTTGGACACAAGACAAGTCGTTAGCCAAAGCTAAAGGGAAACGTCTTCATGAGTTCAAGGGCAGCCTGAACTACATAGTGAGACCCTATCTCAAAAATAAACAAACAAATAAATGAAATTCCTTGGATATCATCCATAATCCCTAAGTATTATCTAAGTACAAAGAACATAAAACTGTAGCACCTGCCACGGTGCTTAATTAATCAGTGGCCAACAAAAACATGGAGTAATGTGATAGATAGAAATGTGTATTAATATCCAATCCAGAAAAAAAAGTTACCTGTTGGAAGCTGTCTCTTAGAAGCTGCTGATCCTCAGGATGACAGAATTCTACAATATTCTTTCCCAAGAGTTCCTAGAAGGGACAAAGAAGAGTATGATATTATATATACTGTTACGGTCACTTAACTTTCTTGGTCTATTAGCTGGAGACTTGGATTTATTTCTCCTGTCTTAATCCTAAAATTATAAATTAGTGGAAGGGGAATAAAAAAGAAAAACGATGGAATCTGCTATAAGCACATTTTTCTTTTTCAGAATCCACACTTTTTTTTTTTGGTACTGGAGATCGAACTCGGGACCTTGCGCTTGCAAGGCAGGCAGCGGAACCACTGAGCTAAATCCCCAGGCCCCCACACATTTATTTTAATAGCACTTATTAGATTTGGGGTACAACTTACATTTATAAGTCACCCTTTTAAAGTGTGCATCTGATTATTTGCAGCTAGGCAATCATTACTACGTCAAGTTCTGTAATACGTTCATTGGGACAAATAATTCCTTTACACCTATGTGTATTCAATCTATTTGCACCCCTCAGCCAACCACTGATCTGCTTTCTGGCTCCTCAGTTTTTAGTTTTCTAGAAATTTCAAAGAGAATCACACAATACATAGTATTTCGAGTCTGGCTTATTTCACTTAGCTAGTATTTGTGAAATTAATCTATGTTGTTGCATGTATCAGTACTTTATTCTTTTTATTTTTTTAATGAATGTTTAATGAACATCCCACTTTTTGGCTATTTTAAATAATACAGCTATGAGCATTTATGTATAAATCTTTCTGTGAACATGATTTCGTTTCCCTTGTAGATATTCCAGAGTAAAATTGCCAGGTTGCAGGATAAGTACATGTTTAACTTTTCAGAAACCGCCAAAATGTTCTGATAAAATAGCTGTACCATCTTGCATTTTTACCAACTATGTATGAAGGTTATAGCTTCTATCCATTCTCAACAACATTTTTTGATTATAGCCATTCTAGTGGATATGTAATAGTACTTCAATGATTTTAATTTATACTTTCCCAATGATTCATGATGTTCAGCATCTTTTCATGTGCTGTTCGTATTTCTTCTTTAGTGAAATAACAAATCTTGTGCTCTTTCTACTAGCTGTTTGTCTTAAGTTCTAAAAGTTGTGTATATATTCTAGATCCAAATCCTTTTTCCAGATACAATTTGCAAATAGTTTCTCTTAGTTTGTGCCTGTTCTTTTCACTTTCTTTTGGGGGGGTGTGTGGTCTTTTGAGACAGAAGCCCACTGTCTCAGCCTCCCAAGTGCTGGGATTACAGGCCTCCACCACCACACCCGGCGTTTTTTTTTTTTGAAATGGTAGCAAAGTTTGCTTGAAAAAGTAAAAGCAAAGAGTGAGGAAAAAACTGGCTCTGCAGAGCAAGCTTGGGCCAATGAAAAGAAGAAAAAGCAAGATAAAAGTATACCCTGGAGAACGCAGTACAGGCCATCCTGAGGAAAGCCATGATAGCAAGTTACTTTCTTTTTTTTTTTTTTTTTTTGGTACCAGGGTTTGAGCACAGGACCTTGCGCAGGTGGCGGCACCACTGAGCTTAATCCCTAGCTCAAGTTACTTTCTTGTTTTTGTTTTTTTGGTATGGGGCTTTAACTCAGGACCCTTGTGCTTGCGAGACAGGCAGCAGAACCACTGAGCTAAATCCCCGGCCCTCCAAGTTACTTTCTTAATGTTACCTTTTCATGAGGGCAAATTTTTAATTTTGGTGAAATCCAATTTATCAATATTTTTACTTTGTAAGTCATGCTTTTAAGTATCATACGAAAAATCTTTGCCTAAGACCAGAAAGATTTTCTCCTATAATTATAATTAGCTTTTAAATATTTTTGCCCTTTTAGGTGATTCTGTGTAGGCTACGAGGTAGGGTACAAGAATTCTGCATATGGATACGCAGTTGTTCCATCATTTGTCAGGAAGACCTCTGCACTGCACTGTCCTGGCACCCTGCTGAAAATCAGCTGACTACACACATAAAGACAGGCCATTCTAGTCTGCTGGTCCATGTACCTATCCCGACACTCACAGCACACTGTCTTGACACAGGCCGTGTAGCAGGTGTTCAATCAGGAGTGTAAGTCCAACTCTGTCCTTCATGTGCAAGCTCTGTCGTCTCACACATTCACAGTCACAAGTACCTCCAGGCACTGACAGTTTTGAAAGTTTATATAATAAATTCAGGGATAGTTAACAGGTTTGTTAAGTGAGTGAGTTATAACTGATGGTTATTATTCCTCTAGCTCACCATGTCCGTATACCCAATTAAAATAAGCACTTTAATTAAAAAAAAAAAAGTTACAGGAATAATTAATTTATTGTTAACAAGTCACATGTTCTATGCACGAATGTATGTGCTGTTCTTTCATTGGACTTGTGAGGCAGTAGATCTGTTCATACTAGTATCACCACAAACACGTGAGTAATGTATCACGTTACAACACTGTAACAGTGACAATGTCGCAGACAACGGGATTCTGGAGCTCCATGATAACCTAGGGGGCCACCATAGTATATTTAATCTGTGGCTGACTGAAACACTGTTATACAGCATGGAAGTGTATTTCCTATGGGTCCGCAAATACCCTTCCCACTTATGTGAATAGGTTGCTCATAAAAACGTTCATATAAAGTGAAAATATATTTAATAGGCAATTTTAAGCAGCAAAAATAAAAATAAGCACTTTAACAATAAGAAAAATGAACACATATTTGTGTCTTCTGCTCCCTCAGTTTCGGAAACCACAGTTCTCTAGAGGAAATAATAGCGTTGGTAGGAAGAACAAGTTTAGCTCCTGATAGACTATGACCATCTCTTTTTCTGAGCTGGAGCTGACATGCTTTGGCTATCTCTGAATCACACGATTGTGCATCCCCAACACTGGTGAGGGAAGAGAGGCCCGAGTGTGGGGATGTCGCAGCTGCACTCCTCACCTGTGGCTGGTAGCCAACAGTGGCCACGCAACGGTGATCCACAAAAGTGAATATCCCCTCAATGTTGTGGCGGGAGATGAACTCTGTTGGCTGACAAACATTACTCATGTCTGTACAGTTAGGAGAACTAGTTACCTAAGAGGGAAGAGATAAAAGTGAGGTAAAACGATATCATTCTTTATATGTGTATTTTAGACGTTTTCATAGTTATTTTCATAGCATGAGACTCTCAGTTTCAAGAATTTCTAAACTTTCACATCTCATCCTGAAAGGAAAAAAATGGCAATTTTAATCAAATAAAATCTAGCTCGGCTCCTATTTATGTACTCTTTAACAAAAAATGAATTCAACCCAAAGCCTTCTTACTTTTATCTGATCGGGCTGTACTTCTTATTTATATATGAAAATTATGGTCCAAGTAACCAAGAAACTTATCTTTGCTTAGGAATCAAAATAATTCCACTTCAAGGTGCCGAATTCGATCCCTGGTATACCCCCCCATTCCACTTGCCTACTGTTAGTCGTGTAACGATAACATAAAGGGGATTTTGTTTTGGATGGACATGATGCTGCACGCCTATAATCCTAGCAGTCCTGGACTACAACATGATACTGCATTCCATACTGAGCGGCAGAAGTAAGAAGATCACAAGTTCAAGTCCAGCCTGGGCAACTTAACAAGATCCTTTTTTTTAAAGGCCTGAGAATGTAGCAGGTGTGAAGGCCTTAGATCCTTAGAACTGAGTGGGTGGGTAGGGAGTGTTTAACCACAAATAGAAAATTCTCCATGATAAAGCTAAAAACAAAAAAACTGTAAGGGGGGCTAGGAACAGCACATAGTCCCCACACTCAAGAAGCTACAGGAGGAGGATCACTTGAGCCCAGAAGTTTGAGACCAGCCTCAGCAACACAGCAGAAACCATTATCAACAACAATAAAGGGAAAGACTTCCTTCTTTTCATATTTTTCAAGTTTTGCTAAACTGAATAGTAGCAATGTTCACAGCAAACACTGTATTTCCTCAAATGTTCAAGAATTCTTCATTTGTATTCAGAGAGTAAAAGAAAATTAACATGAACAGGTTCTAAATGAAGAGATGCAGATGTGGAAAATTCACTTGCCTGCAATCTGCCAATGGCAACCAGGCAAAACTTGCTCCCCTGGCCAGCCTCTGGGTCATCATCTGGGAGGGAAACACCTTTAAGGAAGGTGAGATAAAAAGGAGTAAGAGATCTCAGAAGGCCTTCACAAGTCAGGTGAGTTGTAACTCAAAATGCATTTGGGCATGAAGAAACTAGGCATATACAGCAAGACAGTGATAAATGCTAAGTATAAATGATTACACAGAATGTACCGCATGTGCCAGTCATTGTCTTAACTGTACGTATGTGTCTGTATATAAATTAGTGTAATTAACCCACATAAATTATAATAAACTGGAGAGTACAAGTCCTTCCCAAAGAAGTTTAAAAATCACGCTGGTCAAATCACACAGAAAGGCAACTGTGACCATATCATAGGTAGAGAGATGTCTTGGCAAACCTATGACTTTAGAAGTAAGTGAACAATCAAAAATGAAATTATACCAAACACCATTAATTATTTATGATCCTTGGAAAAGACAGAAGCCAAGTTCTACATGGGAAGGGAAGGATACTTTCTCCTCTATACTTTGCATAGTTATCTTCTTTTTATTCAGAAAAATAGAATTTCCTTGAGAGGTAGACAGAAGCATAAAAGATCACACATTACATATATTTTTATATAATATATTGGCTAAAAAGTTCAAATGTCATTGCCTATACTACTTTAAATTAACTTTTATTTAATATATTAACTATCATTTATTGGGTGCCTGTCATATGCCAGGGATGCTTTCCCTACATTAAATCTAATCCTCACAATAACCTTACAGAGGGTATACTATCACCAAATTAAGGTGAGAAAAAGGTTAAGCAACTTACCCTAGATCGAATTATTAAAACAAACAAACAAAAAAACAAACAAAAACAAACAAACAAAAAACCCAGAAATCAAACAAATAAAAGTTTGATCTCTTCCCAAAATATACCACCTTCCCTCTTTTGGTTTCTGTCTCCCCAAAATCTCTACTTACCAATAATTCCCACCAAGCAGGAAAAAAATAAAGGTGGTAAGACTCAGAAACTTTTGACAATTTTTTTTGTTCTCCTTTTTTATTTATGTATGTTTGTGACACAAAATAAATACATTCATCACGGGGAACTGGTACGTACATGTACTCCATCGTGATCTTTTTTACTCTTACTTTCTCTCCTTTCTCTTCCTGTCCCTACCTCTCCTTCCCATCTCCATAAAGTCTATCTCTCTGTTTTCTCTAACTTATTTTTATTTTTATAAAAAGCTGATCTCCAAGCCCCAGCCACTTCTCATATTCCTGTTTGACTTTAAGTTCAACTAAAGATACTCTGCTCTCAGCTTGACTTAGACCCTTTGCAAGGAATATCCTCTTTATAAATTACTACAATTAAGCTAGCTTCCTACTATCACTCAAAGCCTTGCTCCTATTTTTAAAAACTTTCCCGGGCCAGGGATTTAGCCTAGTGCTTCTGGTGCCTGCTTCACAAGTGCAAAGATCTGAGTTTGATCCCCAGTACCAAAAAAATAAAATAAAATAAAAAATAAATAAAATATTAATTGCAAATTAATTGCATTAAATACTAATGTTTCTGTGGGCCAGGGATTTAGCTCAGTGGTGCCACTGCCTGCTAATGTTTCTTGGAAACAACTGCTCAGGACACAGGCATTCAGTGTACATTATTGTGAATCATCACATTTTAAAACTACTCCCTTAAGGGCCGGGGATTTAGCTCAGTGGTTCCACTGCCTGCCTTGTAAGTACAAAGGCCCAAGTTCGATCCTTGGTTAAAAAAAAAAAAAAAAAAAAAAACCTCCCTTAAGCTTGGCACAATAGTGCCAGCTACCTGGGAAGCTGAGGTAGGAGAACTGCTTTGCCCAAGAGTTCAAGGACAGATGGAGAAACACAGTAAAACCATTTTTTAAAAGCTAAATTTAAAATCTCTTAGCCAGGCATGGTGGCACGCACCTGTAATCCCAGCACTCAGGAGGCTGAGGCAGGAGGCTCGCTGTGAGTTTCAGACCAGCCTGGGCTACATAATGAGTTCCAGGTCAGTCTCAACTACATAGTGAGACCCTGTCTTAATAAACCAAAATAAATAAATAAAAATTTAAAAAAATAAAACCTCTCAAAAAAGTTGTATTCGGGCCAGGAATTCCGTCGTTTGCTTTGCAAGCACAAGAGCCTGAGTTCAATCCCCAGTACCAAAAAACAAAAATAAAACAAAACAAAAAACTGTATTCTCTAATCTAACCAATACTGAATCCTTTTCAAGTTTGAGCAATCCATCACCCCAACTGGAATATAAGAAGATCAACAATGGATGTACAGGCTGGGGATTAAGCTCCGTGGCACAGCACCTACCTTCCAAATGCAAGGTCTTAAGTTGGATTCCTGGTACGGGGGGGTGGGGAATGGATGAGAAGGAGACTTCTTTGTCACATTTTCTTTGAACTTACACCAAGGACATTTCATATACCAGGTACATAATAAATGTTGTAACAACTAAATGTGGGTAACTTTCTTGGTCTCTCTGGGCAACCAAGTACACCAAGGGAGAAATCACCATGCAACTTTCCTACCTGCCGGAGGCCAGGCCTTGATGTAGCCCGTACAGTGAACCACTACAAAATGAGGTTCTCCATCCTTCACAGAGCCAAGTCCATTCCTAGAAGAGTAACAGAAGTCAGGGGGAAAACACTACAAAATAAATCTTAAATGGCAACGCTACCATTAACTTTCAGCTCAAGTGTTTAGAAAACAGGATAGGCCAGGTGTGGTGGCACAAACCTATAATCTCACTCAGCACTTGGGAGGCTGAGGCAGGAGGCTTTAGCTGTGAACTCAAGCCTGGGCTACACAGTGAGTTCAAGACAGCCTGAAGTACACAGCAAGACCCTGTCTCAAAAACTACCACCTGCTCAAAGAAAATAGGGTTAATGGGTGTTTGAATCTTTCCCATCAAAAAGAAACCACCATATTTTCAACCCCCACACCAAAGTAAAACAACCAACAGGTACTGACTATAGGAAGAAGAAAATAGGTAAGCAGGACAGTTAAGAAAAGCTTCAGATCTCAGGAAAATATTCTAGGAAAAAAGGGATGAGCATGAAGGCTGCTGACAGAAAAGCTGCAGTAAGCTAGGTGACATGGGATAGTCACTACCGTCCCTTTGGTCTTCACAGCTTACCTGCATCTATTTCTCACAAAGCTCAGTCTATTCATGGAGACTGGGTCCACAGAGCTATTACCACACCTGTTTTAAAGAACAAGGAGATTAAAAGTCAGGATGCAATATCAATGAATTTTTCATAGTAACAGCAGAATAATGGGCTCTGGATACAATCAGACATAGAAAACTGCTAACAATGTTCCTAACAAGAAAAAAGGACAAAGAAAGGTAAGTCAGGTTTTAAGTTTTTCTAAAACTTAAAACTGTACTAGAATTAGAAGTAAAAAAATATCTCGCAGCTGGTGTAACAGCACATGTCTCTAACCCCAGTATTCTGAGAGGCTGAGGCAAGTGGATCGCAAGTGCTTTCAGGCACCCTAGTGACAATTTGTCTCAGTAAGGGCTGGGGACACAGCTCAGTGCTAAAACGGCGGTGGGAGGTGGGGGGGGTGTCATATCCTCTGCAAATGCAGAGATCTTCTACATCAAAAGTTGATCAGTCTTTTCTGTAAAGGATCAGATGATAAATATTTTTTGCTTTCTGAGCATACAACCACTGCAACTAATCAGCTCCGGCATTATAGTGTGAAAGTAGCCACAGGGAATATGTAAAGGAATGGGCATGAGTACGTTCCCATAAAACTTATTTACAAACAAGGAGATATGCTTTGCTGACTCCTACTCTACACTAATAGGAAGCTTAATCCATGTGGCAGATTTCATTGTTATGTACCTTGCTCCTACCAACCTCTTTGAATTACCCATAGCCAGATGTTGGGACACCCTCCCCAGTCTTACTTTCCCTCTCTCATTTCTGTAACATAAAAATAATAAGGGCTGGGGATTTAGCTCAGTGGTTCTGCTGCCTGCCTTGCAAGTGCAAGGTTCCAAGTTTGATCCCCGGCACCATAAACGAATAAATAAACAAACTTGCACAGAGTTTAATATATGCCATACTCTATCTTCACATATGCTAATTTATCTAACAGTCATAACTGATGAAGTCAGTATTAGTATCGTCTCCAATATTAGACGATGAAATCAAAGGATAAATAATCCCTATAACCCATGCAAAGTTTCAGAAGATAGTGTCACAGCTAGAATTCAAATCCATGGAATACTATGGGTGAAAACAAAATCACACAGCAGTCTGAGTCTTGGGGCTACTCTAAACTACTAAGACAAAGTTCTACCTTTTCCAGGAAATCTCTCTCTCTCTCTCTCTCTCTCTCTCTCTCTCTCTCTCTCTCTCTTTTGAGACAGGGTCTCACTAAGCTGCTCAGGCTGGCATTGAACTCAATGTGTAGCCCAGGCTGGCCTTGAACTGGCTATGATCCTTCTGCCTCAGTCTCCAAGTCTGATATTACAGGTGTGAGCCAACACTCTCAGCCAGGAAACCTTTCTTAATGCCCTACATATCATCTGTACCACACATCCTCTCAGTATAATGTAGATGAAGTTCAGAACACCACCTGAACTTATCCTGAGACTGTAGTTGATATGCCTTTTCGGGAGATAGCTTGGGGGTAGGGTGCTTGTCTAGCACATAGGAGGCATTAGGCACAATCCCTCCCGCCAAAACCATGATGCAGGGGTACTGGAGAGGGAGAGGGAGAGGGGCGAGGGGTGGGGAGAGAGAGACCTTTTCTTTCCTATTTCTCCTCTCCCACATCAGGCAAGCACGCTCCAGCTGAGGTACACCCCAACGCTAAGAGATGACTTTGCTCCCTGTGTAAAATAGACCATCATCCTTTCTACAGAACCCTAAAATGTACAGTAAGCATATAATTCATAAACACTAAATAGTAATCAAAAGACTTAAAAATACCTCAAATCTCCAACCTAATAATAATAGTACAGAAATGGTGTGAATACACAGATGCTGCCTGGTGATATAAAAGGAAAAATTATGGGTTTTAGAGTCAGACTACTATGGATTACAACCAAATCCTGTATTAGACACTGTCAACGTAATCTTGGAAAATTAACTGCTTTGAATTCAGGTTTTAATCAGCAAAACGGTAATAGGACTCTTACATCTTAGGGAAGCTGTGGGGATGAAATAAGACGACAGACATAAAAGCACCTGTCACAGTTGTCTGGCACAAGAGAAATTCAGTAAATGTTAATTCCCTTACTAAACATTTTATTCTGTGTTATAATCCATCTGGTCTTGAGAATTACATTTAATCCAGCTGGAACTTGGATTTAAATGCTAATTTCTCTGACAGAAATAAAAACCTTACCTCTTGATAATTCCTATGCCAAATCACAATCCTCAGCCTGACACTCACCTCATTCGACAAATAAATGATCTCCTTGAGCCCATGCACATCCTCATGGAAGACTGCTGACCTTCTTTTTTCACTGTTCCAGTTTTTAGATCCAGGATGCGCCCTGAAGAAGGGTGTGAAGAGCAATCTGGAGCGCGTTCTTGTGCATGGGGAAATGGGGAGAGATTCTGGAGGCAAGGATAAGTAAGCACCCCACGCATACCCACCAACCTCCAAAATGAGAACAGGCCAAGCAGCAGACAGGTTTGTTTAAAAGCCTAAAGTACTTCAGTCTCATCTATGAATCTCACTGCATGTTCAAAGGCAGCATGGAAAATAACCTTATACAAGGAAAGGCAGGTATATGCTACAGAAACACGTATTAAAAAAGAAAGAAAAAGAAACACTTTAGCCTCAACAAAACTGTTTCTTCTCCTTTATTTATGAAACCAAGGAGAACTTCTGGGGAAAAGGAAGAACTAGAAAAAAACAACATGCATAAAACATAAAAGAGGAGAAAACGAATGACCATATTAGAATTTTTTGCATTTTAATTACCTTTTTTTTTTTTTTTTTTTTTTTTTTTTTTCCGGGGG